GATGGATGGATTGATGGATTGATTGATGGTCTCTGCAGACTTATCACAAAGTTTGCCAGTTTAATCAAGTTCCACACGGTAAGTTAGGACTCCTCTTTTTGTCAGAATATACAACAAAATCATTGTCATTTATTAGTTATACTCTACTGAGCAGTTACACTTTGTGTTGTATGCAGACTGTCTATTTGCTCTGTTTATAGTAAAATTAAAATTAAGAGAAAGATTGTGCCAGAAAGAAAGAGAAAAAGAACGATTTGTCCCAGAAAGTGCTGTAGCTATCAAGAAGCTGGACGTCTGAGCTGAAAAGTCTTTACATTTGATTTATTTAGGAGACATTTTTATCCAAAGTAATATCCAGTTGAGAAAGCACGGTCAGCCAGTGCCTGGGACAATTGGGAGTTAACTGAGAATGCCCTGCTGCGAATGACTGACTAATATCAGTTCTGTTTTGTGGACATCCCTTCACTATGACAGTTATACAAACTATTTTCCCAACATCTGCAGATGAAGTAGAAATTTCAAGGTGACCAGGCTGAATTAGAACTGTTCAGTACAACAGCATACTGTATGCTCCTGTCAGTTGTGGATGGTGAGGACAAGCAAACACATCTCTCTACCCTGTGTCTCCACACTCTGCATCTGTAAAGCCTTGTGCATTGTGGAGGTTCCGCCCCACCCCTCCAGTGAACTCTCTGGTTCCACAGCATCCAGTTCTGGGCAGCCATGCCACCCACATCTGCCGAACTTCTGGAAAATACTGTTTACATGTGCTGCACAGTCTCTTTAAGTATGGACACTTCCATGCATTAATTGTCCAGTTTTAATGTAGTGTTTCTGTTCACTGTGTGTCTAATGGGGAATGTTTATTAGGTTTAAGTTAGACTGCTTGGGTTGTTTTTGTTTGAGGGCAGTGTGTGGTTCAGCAGGCTGTGCCTGTGATTAGAAGGTCATCAGGTTGAGCCCTATTTCATGTCTGTGGGCCCTTGAGTGAGGCCCTTAACCCTCATCTCCCAAGGTGCTGCAAGGTGGTTGTCTTTCACTGTGACTCCAAGCTTGCTTTAACCAGTATATGTGTCTCAGTGTCTCATGGAGAGCTAGATAGGGTATAGAGGATTTCCTCAGGGGGATTAAAAAGTATCACTAATAAATATAGGTAGTTGTCTCCCCTCCCCTTAAATTATTGTAGGGAAATGTTGTTTCATGTCATGAGTGTTGCAGCCTGAGTTCAAGAGGAACATTAGTTCATTTCACTGTGAACTGTACATGGCTGAGATGACAATAAAACTGTACTTGACTGGAGAATGAAGTGCCAATATCAGAAATAAGGTGGAAAGTACAGTTGACCAATATGGACCTGGAAGCAAAAGTCAAGTAGGCGAGTACCTGGTCAGCTTCTGGGAAATCTCAATTAATTGTCTATACAATCATGTGCAATACCATCCGTTTTCTGTACCAACTTGTCTTGTGCATGGTTGTACTGTATAGTGCAAAACAGACACGGTGCAAAGACAGTACACGTGGTGCAAACAAAGTGCAATTAGATTTGAAAAGTACACTGTATACAGGGCTGGTCAGGTCAGGTTGGGAAGCATGCTGATGCAGCGCATTCCTTGTTGAAAGGAGTGACATCAGACACCATCGGAAGAAGCCGATTCGCTACAACAACAGCTACTCCCTGAGTATGGTAGCCATCAGACAGACTAGACCAAAAGTAGGTATAACCACCTAGAGAGATCTGGCCACTCCCCGGTTTGTGTAGCTCAGAGTGTGCTCCCACCGAAACGTGGAGTTTACGAAGCACCCCTGACAGCAGTGGAAGATGGTCATCTTGCCGGAGAGACAAGATGTTCCACGCGCCTACCTGGATGGGCCGCCTCACACTGGGACCCAAGTGCCGCCATGCAGCAGGCAACGCGTCAGCACCACACCAGCCCTGATCCCCAACAGACCTGACCCTATTAGCTCTCCGATGGTTTCAACTCATCCAGGGATGGAGCTCCCGAAGGCTTTCTCCCATCCCCTTCATGGTGCGTGCAGCAGACCTACTCCCGCTGAGAGCAGAAGAGTATCATGCTTGTTTAAATCAAGCAGTTGTGAGTTGTTATATGGTGTCTGGAGTGCTACTTCCGCCACCAACCCCCAAAAATAGTTTTCCTGCAAGTTTGAGGACTGCTTGCAGGGCCAGATGCAGTTTAACGTCATACCCAAGACACAGATAAAGGAAAGAAGGGGGGCTAGCACCCCCTGGAGCAGATGGGCAGAATTGTTCTTATTATTGTCCAATTTTGCTAATATTTTCATCTCTTTGCTCCTGCCTCCAGTGGGTCCAGGGTCAGTTCTGTGATAGAGCTGGCCTTCCTTATGTGTTTGTTCAGGGTCAGCTCAGTGATGGAGCTGACCTTCCTTATGTGTTTGTTCAGGGTCAGTGCTGTGATGGAGCTGACCTTCCTGATGAGTTTGATCAGGGTCAGTGCTGTGATGGAGCTGGCCTTCCTGTTGAGTTTGTTCAGGGTCAGTGCTGTGATGAAAATTTTACTCCCTCATGTTATTCTCCAGTCAGGCTATCAAAATTAACATGTTAATGCAATCAGAGAAATAATAACATGTTGATTATGACAGCGTTATTGAACGGTATAGTCCCTATAAAACAAATGCTAACTGCATTGTGCATAAAGGAGCTCTCTGGCCAATTCAGTCAGTCAGACATAAAAAGAGGGAGACTGCTCTGGTTCCCATATTTATTGAATTGACATGAGGTTGTATGAATTACTGACCTCCATACCATTCTGTAAAATCCTTGCCTTGAAGTTCAAAATGAATTATCAGTCTGCTCCTTCAACATATGGGCCCTGCTACAATTCAAGATTCATTATTTGTCTTATACATTCAAGTACATGTAGTGAAAATGTGGGAGAAGTGTTAGAAACATATATTTTTACAGTTATGTCCTAGGAATTGCAATGTTTATTAAAGCTGCGCCATCATTCATAATTCATAATACATGTTGTGTTGTGTGTTTTCATTTGAGATTTCATCTTAAAAACAAAAATTACAACTAAATTATGAAGCTCAGTAAGAATATAACATGAAATAAAAATGGTTAAAAATTAATAAGCTGAAACTAAAATTAAAAAGGAAACAAAATTGGTGGGAAAACTATTAATATAAAAACTAAATTTAAAAACTGTAACTAAAATGACCTTGTCTCGAGGATCCCACCATTACCTCAGTGGAAAACATCAGATTTTGAGATGCTGGATCTGTGATCAGTTGCAAAAAGCAAATCTACAAGGATATGTGATGTCCCAATGGAAATCCTACAAGCAATTAAAGCAAGACTAGACATTAGTGGAAGAAGCATCAATAATCTGGCCATCAAACACAGCATTTATATAAAATAATAAAGAAGATCTGAGGACAGTCATAAGAAATGACTAAGAATGCAACGTGTGGAAAACAAAGGTTGTGACTTTGGGAATGGCAGCTAACCTTACTAGTAACGGTGAATACTTAGAGGTTACAGACAGCTTTTGCGTCCTTGGAGCAATTATCAACAACAATGGGTCCAGCAGTCTAGAAATACATTGTTGACTTGCTCATATCTCCAAGAACAAAGATCTGAATTGTTGTAAATATGAATAAACAGATCATGAGGAATATTGTTGCCTTTGAATTTTGATGTTGATGAAAACTTTTCAGAGCACCATGGACTGCAAGGAGAAAAAATAAGTGGATTTTAAATCCATTTAAGTCTAACCATTGGCTTCAAGTGCAATATAAGTCTGACCTTTGGCTTCAAGTGCAAATGATCAGATTTATCTTATTTTAAAAATTTTATAAGAAGACCCATAACTTTGGAAAAGATCATAACACTTTGAAAAGCTGGAGGTAAAGGAGAAATACGATGACTAGCAACAAGGTGGATGTCATCACAATGGAAGCCTGAAGACCCACACAGAAAGAAGACTATTTTCTGGAGGAATGCCATCTATATGGTCACCAGAAGGCAACATGAAGCTGATGGAAACTAGCTGATTCATTTCTTGAAATTATGGCCTCCACGATGACCTCACACAAAGCAGAGGGACAGTTAGATGCAATTATAAAACATTTCTGTTTGGTATCAGTCCAAACAGATTTCCAACAGAATGGAAATATAGGTTAAATCTTGATTGAACATTAGTTACGTGCTTCTGTGGAGCTTCGTTACTTTGTGTGGTATTCAAAAATATATTAAAATGTCCCTTCTGAGTTGGGTGGGGGGCAAATACTGTATGACTCAGCAAATGAGTCATCAGAGTGGAGGTGCAGGAGCAAATAAACTGACTACGGGAGAGATCCAACAAGCCTCCTTCATTAGCTCAGTATCTCTGCATTTTACGGCAATCTCTGGCACCTGTACTCGCCATCTGGTCCTTTGACATTATGCCTGTACTTCTGACCTGTGTGAAAAAGTCATGTGTTTTTAACAGGCTGAGCTTAGTACAGATGAATCATGTATATCAGAGTACTGCCTCTATTTTTTATTAAGTGATTAAAACAGTTTGTGTGCTTTGTGTGTTTGTATTTATTTGTTGATTTTACAAAGAATCGTAAAAAGTGATGACCTAAAATGTATAACAAAGTTACTGAAAATTCTATACAATCTCGCAGCAAATTGTTCATATCTTGCAAGAAGCTGGTGTATTGTGTTCTAGGCTTATTCAGAAATACAAGTGGTCAGAGAAGCTGGCATGACTCGCGTATGACAGATCAGAACCTCTGAATGACTGAACCGAAAGGAGCAGTATGGCATCTCTGATTTCTACAGTGATGTGTCATTCCTCACACCAAAATGTCCCCTCTTATGTTACACATTGACACTGGGTCATTTATCCATTGAGATTCAGACTCCATTAGCAGACAGAAACAGTGAATGGATAATTGGGATTGTTGTCTAACTTATTTACACATTTTTCTTCTCTCTCCCTTTCTATCTCCTCCTTGTCTTTCCCATGCAGGAAAAGAGGAATATGTAGCAACATTCAAAGGATCGGAGTTCTTCCGTTACGACCTGTCATTGAATCCAATCCAGAGTAGCAGTGATGAGATCACACTGTCCTTTCGTACGCTGCAGCGTAATGGTCTCATGCTCCACACTGGCAAGTCGGCCGACTACGTCAACCTGGCACTGAAGAATGGTGCTGTTTCCCTTGTGATCAACCTGGGCTCTGGAGCCTTTGAGGCCCTGGTGGAGCCAGTCAACGGCAAATTTAATGACAATGAATGGCACGATGTCAAAGTAACCAGGAATTTACGTCAGGTAACAGCCAAAAACAGCAATGGCAGGAGGGCCGAACCTTGACAACCTAACCACACCGACTATCTGTACAACAAAAAAAAACATGTGGGGATTAATGCTTTACATTAAACAAATACTAAATAATGTGTTTTCCAGTAAGGAGTCACATTTAATGTCACATCCTCTCCTCTCTATTATTTAAGAAGTGGTGCCTTCTAGAGTGGTAACTAAAACAAAAACATACAAGGAGAACAAATATGCCATATGTATGGAATAATGGCAAGGCTAGTTTATTGTCCACATTACATTATATAATGGCAAGGCTAGTTTGTTGTCCATGTATTACATACAAGTTTATCAATTTGACTAATTGCTCTGACTCTGTTTAGAAGATCACTGTGTAGTGTAGCTAAGTTCTTCATGAATACTAAATGGGAATAAGTAAAAAGGTACTGAAAAGGCCTGGGACTTTGGGTTTTACCTGATAGCCACCTAATGGTTTGCAAAAGGTCACTATGGAGGCTACATTTATGGTTTTGATACAGCAAGTACTTTTATTCAATATGACACACAAATGAGGCAGATAATACATCAGAAATATACTACTTTTAAGGAGCCAAATTAAATAGATATTTTGAATGGGTGACCAGCAATTAGTGTAAAGAAAACATCTAGAAGTGCTGAGTGGAGCTATTTAATTGGAACAGCTAACAAAGACAAAGTTGGGGAGGATAAGTGGCAGTGAAGTTTGATGAAGTTTGTTCAGGCGTTCCCAGAAGAGATGGGTTTTAAGACGTTTATTGTAGATTATGAGGGATGCTGCAGTCAACATGTAGCTGGATAGCAGGTTCCACCATTGAGAAACCATGTATGAAAAACATCTAGTATGAGACATGTTTCCATAATAACTGCAGTGTAGTTAGGAAGTAATAGCTGGTCATTGATCATTACCTGCAGGTTTATTGAGATAAAACTATCTAAGCTGGACAGTAATCTTTTGTTGAATAGTAGGTTTGGGAGTTAAGACAAGAAGCTCAGTTTTCTAGAGGTTCCGATTGAAGGAGTGCAGAGGCTGAGGCTGTGCTATCCCGTAGACTCAAGGTCAGGTAGAGTTTGATGCCATCTACTTGGGATTTGGCAACCGAATAATAAAACCTAGAGAGGAGGTATATAGCGGAAAGAGTATGGGGCCAGGAACGGAGCCTTGAGGCACACCAGTTGTTACTTGATGTGGCTTACACACTTTTGCTCCCCAAGACACCTGGAAGGATCTACCTGAGAGGTAAGACTCAAAGCACATCAAAGCATAGGACATGGAGAGGAACTCTAGAGAGGAACCTGACCATAAAAGGATGCTGAAGTCAGTGGGAAGAGCCAGCCAGATTCCCTGTAAATAAAAATATTGCGTGAGGTTAGGGGATGACTTGTGGCAGGGGGCTTGTTGCTCTTTGTCATACAGAGCATTCTCACTAGTCCTGCTTTTTATTTTTCTGTAAATTGTGTTTTCCTCTTTCTGCATTACTAATCTGCTTTAGAAAAAAAACAACTAACCTGTCATTCATGGAATGTGTCATTTTACTAACCGTTACCTTTGGATGTTCCAGAATGTACTAACCTGAGACCATCAAATCTTTTTTCAGTAACAACCGTTATTCTGTTCACAGTTTTTAATTCCCCTTCTTCCCCTTTTCCACAAAGCACGCAGGCATTGGACACGCTATGGTAAACAAACTACTTTGCCCGGTAGATATCATTCTGTATCTTAGTTTGGGTTTGCCTTTTCTTTTCTATCTTCCTTTTACAGTAGAAAGGTCATTCTGACTATGCAGTACCTTTTCCAGTCCTCATCAGATATGTTTTAATATATACGTAAAATGTTAATTTCTTCAATTTTAAAGGATGGAAAATATATTTTCTTTTTCATGAAATCACAAATATATAGATTTCAGGTTTAATTGTAAGGTGCTTCACCATTTTGGTTTGGAGGAACCTGCCACACAGGATGTAATCTAACAGCAGGTACTCTGAAAGCTTCAGTCAGCCATTGCTTAAGGGAGTCAGCATAAAGCAGAGAAGTTTATCAAAAAAATCTACAATTTTTAGAATTTCAGTATTGTTTTGTTTTCTATAATTTCACCTGACAGGGTAGAATGTAGTAGAATGAAACAAATTAAATCCACAGACCAGCTGTTTGAATTGCTAGCAGTTACTGATCTTTGTGCTGTTGTTTTCCCATCATAAATAATGTTACTTCATGGAGTAAACTGTTATTAAGAAGCCATTACATTAAGAGGCTTTAATGTAATTTAATGTCAATTTAAAATGACATTACAGTTATACAGAGGACAAAATGATAGCCTCTCTTACTTACTAAATGATCATAAGACAAAATGTTAATTAGGGCATGTAAAAAATGAAGAAACACCTTAAGCATTTAATAATACATTGGCAGTTTTATTTTGTGGAAGTTAGTGCATATCAGGCCTAGGATGCTGGCAAAACAGGCAGCAGGTACTCAAACCAAAATGCTGAAATGACCTTCAAGTCTATATATTTGTGATTTTGTGATTAAAGAAAATGAACTAATACTAACTACATCAAACTTTCCATCTTTTACATTTAAAAAATGCAGCATTTTATTGATATATTAAGACATATTTGATGTGGAGAGCAAATGCACGGCATAGTAGGAATGACCCGGATGTGATTAACAGAAAGGTTGGTACCCTATCCTGCTCACTGTCCACTTCCCAACTCCTGTTTTTCTCTATTCATCTGTCAGATTTCTTCTCTCATTTGACCTGTTCCTGTTCTTTTATGTTTCACTCACCTTTTAGGGAGCACCTTTTCTGCCTGTTGCATCCTGCAGTGATGTACAGGAGGGATTCTCCTGACTGGCTCGCTTAATGCCCATTAGCTCAGCCAGTCCTATGACAAGGCTGGAATGATGCCCATTGGGTAGGCCAGCCCTATGACCAGGCTTACTCAATGCTTATTGGCTCAGCCACTCATATGACCAGGCTGACTCGATGCTTATTGGCTCAGCCAGTTGTGCTGTCATTCACACCACGTGGCATGTATTCTGGAGTCCTCTGCCCATACTGTGACTCCTTTTTTCCAAGTTACACTCATATAAATTCCTTGAATTTTTACCCTTTTATGACGTGCATTTACTGAAATATTAGTTTTTTTTCTTGTTTTTATCATTTTTATATTTTTCTTTGTTGCATGCACATATGCCACAAGAAAATGACATATAAGGCATGTTTGTGCTCTTGCGCTCTTTATTCGCTAACCTAAACTAACCTACGCCATGGCCGTGGCCTGAACAGCTTTGTGCTTCCATCATCACACTGTATTATTGTGTTAATTTCCTTTTCATTTTCATATAAAAATACATGCTGAACAAAGTTAAATGTACCCTGCCGACATACTTCCAAACACATTCTACTAACTCCATTTTTGTGTCTGCTCAGTTGCTTTTGAGTTGCAACAGGGGTAACTAATAACTAAGTATAATCTGGGCAATACGTCAACTACTCAATTCATTTCACTCTCCAACTAGGGTTGGTGGATAGGATTCCATCACCAGATCAAATGAAACAAAAAAAGAGAAAACACAATAAGAGACATGAAAATGGGTTTGAAATATAGTTACATAAAAAGAAAGTGGATAAAATGTGCTGGCCTTGTGGGTGGCTGAAAAGGCTCGTGCAGCAGATAGCCTTCTTAGCATAGTGTGTCCTTTCCCTGTGCTCTCATGTCGTCTAGGTCACGATATCAGTCGATGGCATTCTGACCACCACAGGATACACACAGGAGGACTACACTATGCTGGGCTCCGATGACTTTTTCTATGTCGGAGGCAGCCCCAGCACAGCAGACCTGCCCGGATCTCCTGTGAGCAACAACTTCATGGGTTGCTTGAAAGAGGTAAAACATCTGCCTTTTATGCATTTGCAAACAGTGGACTTGAACCATTGGCTGTGTGCCAACCTGCGTGTTGCCCCCTCCTAAACCTTGATTTGGGATTGGAATTAGGTTGCGTGTGGAAGTGAGGTTCCATTTGCAGAGATAAAGCAGTTATTAGTAGCCTTTTGACAGTGGGAAGAACCCAGTGGATACCAGGCATTTACATTAAGTTTTTGTCCATTATAAAGTAACATTATGTAACATTTCTTGCACAAAGCTACAAATCATGAAATATAAAGACCTCTACAGGACACTACTTTTCACACAGCAGACTATGCCTGATAGCAGCACATTGGATAGTGTTTTGATAGCAGTTGGTTTCATTTTGATAGGAATCTGGGTAAGATGTTTTGGGTATATCCAACTGGGAAGAGACCCCAGAGCAGACCCAGGACACTCTGGAGATTACATCTCTCAGCTGACCTGGGAATTCCCTAGAGAAGCTGGCCGGATTAGGGTTAGGGTTAGGTCTGGGCATGTTTGTTTAGATTGCTGCCCCCGCAACTCTGAACAGGATGAGTGGCGTAGGATAGATGGGTGATTTCATAACGATTATTTTCCTTGTAGAGTGCTGTTCCTATTAGCACAAAGTGCATTGGTAGTCAAGGGCCAGATTCCAGAATACTGCATAAAGTCCTTGATAAGTGTGTGTAGAAAGGTGCTGAATAACCCTGTAATATCATATAGCATGGTTGTAAGAGGTTTATTAGCAGCAACAGCTTTTGTTAATATATATAAATATATCTATGTATTTATGTGTCTGTGTGCTATCACAGATACAACAGACATTATATCTCAAGCCATTCTCATTATCTCTATCCAGCAGAAATTCCCCAACATCACAACACAAATTTCAACCCATCAAAATATCACGGGAGTAAGCAATCTCAGTTCACCTTGAGCTGAGTGGTTGACTTTGTAATGGGAAAAACCATCACATTATTTATTCACACGCTTGTTGGAAAATGGAGTTTTAACATTTTTACCAATAATTTCTCTGCAGTTCAACTGAAAAGCAGGACACAATGTTATAGTGAACTCTCCACCTCTTAGTGGAGGACATTAACTGTACCTCAGTGGTACCTTGCTGGTCAGGGATTCAAATCAGCAAGCTTACGATCATAAGCACACTTTCTCTAACCATTAGGCCTCCACTACCTATCCAATTGTACCTGTTTGGACATTTAATTTATGTGTGCTGCTTGGATGGCCACCATAATGTCTGTGTATATTCTGCAAACAGCTAACTTTGGGATTAGGAGAGTGATATTTACCTTTTGCTCTTGTGCATTAATAACCATTTAGACCAAATAACCTTATGCTTCACCCATGCACTTGGCCCTCTGTTTTGAACTAGGTGGTCTACAAGAACAACGACGTCAGGCTGGAACTTTCTCGGTTAGCGCAGCAGGGGGATGCCAAAATGAAGGTGCACGGGACAGTAGCCTTCAAGTGCGAGAGCGTAGCCACTCTGGACCCCGTGACTTTCGAGACACCAGAGTCTTTTGTGGCTCTGAGCTCTTGGGCAGCCCGTCGGACCGGTTCCATATCCTTCGATTTCCGCACCACAGAACCCAATGGGCTGTTGCTCTTTAGCCACGGCCGCCCCAAGCCCCGCAAAGAGGCCCGTGGGCCCCAGGCCCTCAAGGTGGACTTCTTTGCTATCGAAATGCTGGACGGCCACCTGTACCTGCTGCTGGACATGGGCTCTGGCACCACGAAGACCCGGGCCGTCAATAAGAAGGTCAATGATGGCGAATGGTACCATGTGGACTTTCAGCGAGATGGGAGATCAGGTGGGATCTGGTTTCCAGCTCTGCTGCAGACACAGTGATACTAAAAGGAGTGTTTCTCTGTGGAGAATATTGCATGTTCATGCAGGTGTTGGGATGCAGCTCAGCTAGACAGATCTCTCACTCATGCACACACACACAAACACACCTTCCTTCCACTTACCCCTCCAGCTGCTTCTCTGTTACTATGGAAACCTGAGCAAGTCTCTCCCACGGGACAAAGAGCTTGGCTGGGCTGCACAGCAATGATGTTTTACCTCCCCATCATGATATCCGAACACACAGACACACACAGAGGAAGGGCACCTGCTAGCCGTCACTGTAGACTAAATGATCAGATGGTTACAGCATGATTAAATCATATTAAATGATTAGGATATTTGTTGCTGCAGCAGATACGTCTTGTTTGCTCTCTTTTCTCTTTATCGCTCTCATGTTCTCTCCTTCAATGCCATGCTTCTGTTTTCTGTTTTTGTCAGAGCGCTTCACTACTGACATGTGCACTCTGTTTCCCATCGACAGGGTGCCTCAAAGATACGTTGCATGGCTTGTAGACTGCGGTCAGAGTTGTGTGCAGGGTCATGTGTACAGTGCTTCTAGCATTGCGCTGCTGTAGGGCCACACTGCTTCTGCTGGTGCTCAAAGATTTATTCTTCATATGTGACCTGAATTACTGTTAAAAATACCCCCGGCTATATTTCTGTCCATGTTTTTACTCATATCAGAAGGAGGAGTCCTTCACAGAGGAGAAATGGGTTTCCTCATACTGGAAGGTGGTGTCCTCATACTGGAAGGAGGAGCCCTTCATAGTGAAGGAATGGGTGTCCTCATACTGGAAGGAAGTGTCCTCCAATGAGGAGGAATGGGTGTCCTCAAGCTGGAAGGAGCTGTCCTCCTACTGGGAGGAGTTGTCCTCCATAGCGAAGGAATGGGTGTCCTTGTGTCTAAGGTTATAGGACAATATAAAGATAATATATCGTTTGACAAAATTCTCATGCTCCACTGGGGGTTCTGGCTTTCTTACAGTGGATGCAGTGCTTGCAAGCTCCTTTTGAAATGTTGTTCCTCCTTGGGGAAAAGGTTCAGGCTAAAGCATCAGTGGGACTTAAGGTCATGCTTTCCTTTCATAGGATTCCTGACCAAAGTCAAGTCAAAGTGTCCCTATTTTTGTCTCAGCTCAGGAAGATGGAATTCAGTTTCTCTTAGTCACAGTGTTAAAAGTATGATAGTAATAATAATAATAATAATTATTATTATTATTATTATTATTAGTAGTAGTAGTAGTAGTAGTAGTAGTAGTAGTAGTAGTAGTATAAATATATGACATATATAAAACATAAGACATGACAGTATAATATAGACATGGAATTGAAGACATAAGACTTAAATAAAATATAAAAATGCCATTTAAAACACCAGATTAGGTGAGAGTGTCCAGTTGTTCCGAATATGCTATGATCTAGGTTCCTGAAACTAGCTGTATCAGATATCTAATATAGCACATATCAAATTCCACTTAATACATGTATGTGAAAAAGAAAGAACATCCTCTTTCAGTTCTAAGGTTTAACATATTGGGACATAATAAAAAAATCTGTACCTTAGTCGGTCTTAAAGTTAGGTAAATACAACCCCAGCAAATCTACAACAGAAAGGCTGAAAAAGAAAAGAATCAAGGTATTGCAGTGGCCCAGTCAAAGGCCAGACCTCAACCTGATTGAACTGCTGTGGCGGGACCTTAAGAATACTATGCATAAACGAATACCCGTAAACCTCAATGAACTGAAGCAGCGCTGTAAAGAAGAGTGGGCTAAAATTTCTTCACAGCAATGTGAGATGCTGATAAAGTCATACAGAAAATTATTGCTGCTAAAGGTGGTTCTACACGTTATTGAATCATGGGGTGTACTTAGTTTTTCACTCTTGGCTTCTCCATTTTGGCTTCATTTTGATAAATAAATAATGACATGGTGGAATCTGTTGTGTGTTGTTTTACACCTGAGGTTAGATATAAATACTCTTTGAACCTGGTAAGAACCAGGTGATTTTTTTTTATGTCATGATATTTAAAACCATAGAACTGAAACTTCCTTTTTCACATGCCTGTGTGTCAATCTTTATTTGTATCTCAAATATGTACAGAAATTGAGAGTCGCACATTTGCAGGAAAATGCACATAAAAACAATGAAATAAGCACACAGAAGTACATCTAGACATGTACAAACTTGTATAGGAAGCATCATCTGAACTCTTTCTGGTGTTGTATTGAACATGGAGCCCTACAGCAAAGCTGCTTCTCACCCTTTGCACCTCCCTCCCATACTCCTGCTCAGGTACCATTTCTGTCAACACGCTGCGCACCAGCTACACGGCACCAGGTGACAGTGAGGTACTGGACCTTGATGAGCACCTTTACCTTGGTGGGCTGCCAGAGAACCGCCAAGGCTTGATCTTTCCCACGGAGGTATGGACAGCCCTGCTCAACTATGGCTACGTGGGCTGCGTGCGCGATCTGTTTGTGGATGGCCAGAGCAAGGATGTGAGAAGGCTGGCTGAGGCCCAGAGGGCAGCCGGGGTCAAGCCATCCTGCACCAAAGAGCCTCCCAAGCAGTGCATCAGCAACCCTTGCCAGAACAGCGGGGTGTGCCGTGAGGGCTGGAACCGCTACGTGTGTGACTGTTCTGGAACCGGCTACCTGGGCCGGTCCTGTGAAAGAGGTGGGTGACACAGTATTCAAAGGCCTGCATCACTATATGTACCTTCTACTGGAACTCATTGGGGGTGTGCCTGGGTTGTAGAGCTCTAGGACTGAACATGTGCCCATACTCTGTTTTGTAGCAGAGTTGTCCGTAACAAAACCATAGCTGGCACACTGTGAATTTAGCCCCATACTGTTCACTTAGGTGGGAGGGATCAGTAACTTGTGAAAACAGGAAGAGTGCTTGTGTTGAGCATTGCATGAGTTAATAGAGACCCCAACAGGTCTAATTATTCTGAAATACAAGGCTTTTAGACCAGTTATGTGTCATGAAGTCATCATCTGAATCTCTCTAAGAATGATCTGAGCCTCAGATGAGTGTTCCTTCTGCTTTCTGAATCTGCAGTTTGTCAGTTATGTTGTCATTCTGTGTTCACAAGTTGTTGACATTGTGTCTAAGAGACACTATGTCATCAGTTGCATCACGCTGTTTGTCAGCTTGACAAAAACTAAACTTGGAAAATGTTACTAATGTACAACATAGGTTGTGGTAGCTATGCAGTAGCCTGATTAACAGCTATTGCATAAGGAAGCTTTAGAGAACCTCAGTAGAGTAACCACCTAATCCATGTCAGGGGAGACACTATGAGCTACATCAGCTTTTACAAACTACTTTAAAACTGAAAAGCTCTCAAGCTTAGCTAATTAGTTCAATTCTTGTGCTTTTGCTGGTTTGTTTCCTTGACTGAAAGACTCATCCAGCTGTTTCACATTAACATTAGAGACACATGCATGATTATAGGAAACTGACTATTCATCACACAGCAAGAACCCAGTGCTAAGTTAACTCCAGGTCCTTTTAATTGAAATTGTAGTTTATAAACCCTGTTGTAGCTCACAGTATCCCCCCTGACACGGATTAGGTCAGGGTTATTCAAATCATGGTCCTCAAGGTCCGAGCACTGCTGGTTTTCCAGCCTTCCTTTACCTGTCAATCAGGTGTGAAGCCTCTGACCAATCAGAATCAGTAGTTATTAAACTAACTACCTGGGAGAACTGAATGATGACAGAGCAACACTGCCGCAGGGGGTTACAGTTAGGATGTGGATGACAGAGCAGCACTGCCGCAGGGGGTTACAGTTAGGATGTGGATGACAGAGCAGCACTGCCGCAGGGGGTTACAGTTAGGATGTGGATGACAGAGCAGCACTGCTGCAGGGGGCTACAGTTAGGATGTTGATGACAGAGCAGCACTGAGGCAGGAAGTACATCTAACACATGATAGTAGTGTAGAGTGGCTGTCTGTGTGTGGAGATGCAGGGAAACAAATGGGACATTATAGTCATGCTTTATCTGTTTGAGTACAATATGTGTGTGTCCACATTACTTGAGCATTTGGGGGGCATATCTAAGTGTAGCCTAGCAGAGCATCCCTAGAGATTTCAATATCTCCTATGTGCCCCCTCCCCCAGATGCCACCATTCTGAGCTACGATGGTAGTAAGTTTATGAAGATCCAGCTGCCGGTGGCCATGCACACAGAAGCAGAGGATGTATCGCTCCGATTTCGCTCACAGAGGGCCTACGGCCTACTGGTTGCTACCACATCCCGAAACTCAGCCGACACCCTGCGCCTGGAGCTTGATGCTGGCCGCATTCGCCTTACGGTCAACCTAGGTACCGCCCTCCCATGGTCATGCTGGCACACTACAGCCCACCTTATATGCATACAATATGACTGTGAACACATGTTGCCATTCAATGGCAAAAATTCTGTTGGATTTGTAGATTATGATAGTGGAGAGGCTAACAGACAGTCAGAGGGTTAGGGAATGGCTGGCTTAGGGTAACAGAGTCAGAGGGTTAGGGAATAGCTGGCTCAGGGTATCTGATAGTCAGAGGAGTAGGGAATAGCTGGCTCAGGGTATCTGATAGTCAGAGGGGAAGGGAATAGCTGACTCAGGGTAACTGACAGTCAGAGGGGAAGGGAATAGCTGACTCAGGGTAACTGACAGTCAGAGGGGAAGGGAATAGCTGGCTCAGAGTAACTGATAATCAGAGGAGTAGGGAATAGCTGACTCAGGGTAACTGACAGTCAGAGGGGTAGGGAATGGCTGGCTCAGGGTAACTGATAGTCAAAGGGGTAGAGAATAGCTGGCTCAGGGTATCTGATAGTCAGAGGGGTAGGGAATAGCTGGCTCAGGGTANGAATAGCTGGCTCAGGGTATCTGATAGTCAGAGGGGTAGGGAATAGCTGGCTCAGGGTAACTGATAATCAGAGGAGTAGGGAATGGCTGGCTCAGGATAACTGATAGTCAGAGGGGTAGGGAATAGCTGACTCAGGGTAACTGATAATCAGAAGAGTAGGGAATGGCTGGCTCAGGATAACTGATTGTCAGAGGGGTAGGGAATAGCTGACTCAGGGTAACTGACAGTCAGAGGGGTAGGAAATGACTGGCTCACGTCTTCCTGGGTCCACAGACTGCACTGAATTAATACAGATATTCCTCATATAATAGATATGAAACAGCCACCTTAAAGAATCTTTCCTGTGTCTGAAACATAAAAGAAAACATTGTGACTGTGCCAACGCTGTGTTAGGTACTGAATGATTGTGCCAGCACCGTGTTATGTATTGAATAATCGTGCTGACACCATGTTAGGTCCTGAATGACTGTGCCAGCACCATGCTAGGTCCTGAATGACTGTGCTGGGACCATGTTAGGTACTGAATGACCATGTTAACACCATGCTAGGTACTGAATGACCATGTTAACACCATGCTAGGTACTGAATGACGATGTTAACACCATGCTAGGTACTGAATGACTGTGCCGACAGCACGCTAGGTACTTAATGACTGTGCCGACACCATGTTAGGTACTAAATGACTGTGCTGACACCATGTTAGGTACTGAATGACTGTGCCAACACTATGCTAGGTACTGAATGACTGTGCCAAGACTTTGCTAGATACTGAATGACTGTGCCGACACCATGTTAGGTACTAAATGACTGTGCTGACACCATGTTAGGTACTGAATGACTGTGCCAACACTATGCTAGGTACCGAATGACTGTGCCAAGACTATGTTAGATACTGAATGACTGAGCCAGCATCATGCTAGGTACTGAATGATAGTGCCGGCACCATGCTAGACACTGAAAAGGACCTGGGTGTGCGAGCCTTCAGTGGGCAGAGCCTGCGGCCCATCGCTCACTGCCAGATGAGCATGCAGTGCCCTTACTGGGAGTGCCTGATTCCTCACACAGACATGCACACACACTGACTCATGCATACATGAACATGCATGCTACAGACACACACTCACACTTCATGCACCTTTGAGAGGATGGCATTCCTTGTGGGGATACACTTGCATTGATCTCTGGCTGTTTGCGACCACTTTTCCCCTGTGGTTGACAACGTGCGAGTGGGGGGTGGGGTTAGTTATTGGTTCACTCAGGGCTGTGCTGTTGTTAGAGCCCCAGCTCACTACACACACTGGTCATCACTGTCTAATTCCACTGAGCATCATGCTCTAATCTCAATGAGCTTCGTACACTTATCTCACTGAGCACCGTGCATTAATCTCGCTGACCATTATGTACTAATTTCACTGACACTTGTGCACTAATCTGAATGAGCATCGTGCACTAATCTCACTGAGCATTGTACAGTAATTTCATTGACCATAGTGAACTCATCTCACTGATTGTCCTTGCAATAATCTCGCTAAGCATTGTACACTAATCTCACCGAGCATCATCCACTAATTTCACTGTCTACGGTGCACTCATCTCACTGGTCATCATGCACAAATCTCACTGAGCATCATGCTCAAATCTCAGTGACCATTCTGCACTCATCTCATTGGTTATTGTACACTAATCTCAGTGAGCATCATGCACAAATCTGACTAATATGCACTCATCTAACAAATCATGATACACTCATCTCACTGAGCATCATGCCCTAATCTCACTTACTATTGTGCACTCATCTCACTGACCATCTTGCACAAATCTCACTGACCATTGTGCACGAATCTCACTGACTATCGTGCACTGATTATCGTGTACTAATCTCACTGACCATTGTGCACTAATCTCAGTATCATGCACTAATCTCACTGACCATCATGCACTAATCTCACATGAGCATCCTACACTGACGGATCATCATGTACTATTCTCACTGAGCATCTTGCACCAATCTCACTGACCATCATTCACTAATCTCACTGAACGTCGTGCACTAATCTCATTGAGCATCCTACATTAATCTCACTGGATATCATGCTCTAATCTCACTGAGCATCCTACACTAATCTCACTTGATATCATGCACTAATCTCACTGAGCATCCTACACTAATCTCCCTGGACATCATACACTAATCTCACTGACCATCATGCACTAATCTCACTGAACATTGTGCACTAATCTCACTGAGCATCCTACGCTAATCTCACGGACCATCATGTACTAATCTCACTGGCTATTGTGCACTGATCGTTGTGCACTAATCTCACTGACCATCATGCACTAATCTCACTATCATGCAGTAATCTCACTGAGCATCCTACACTAATCTCTCTGGACTAGCCATACTGGGCTTCACACACAGCCTTGAAGCTGCCTGCGTAATGTTATAAATGGCAGATGACAAAAACAGAAAATGAAAAACAGACATGTAAAAGTCTCATTTCCAACATGGCCTTTATATTTCCTCACATTAGACATAATTGTTTTCAGATTCTCAGAAGCTTTTCTCATCATTCAGATGGATCACAATTCTGTCTGACACTCATTGGAGGACTGTTAGTCAATTGGAGTGTCATAATGCCTATGCTGAAAGTTACTCAATTGGCAGGCCTGATATTCTTTATCCTATCATTGCTAAACGAAGAGTTCCAGGTGTCAATGAATATTCATTAGCAGAAGAGAACTTTCCTCATTATGTTTTGACATTAATCAGTCTAAATGTGTATGGAGTCTTTCTTCATGGTTGCCAGTATTTCAGAATCATTTCTTCTTTAACGGCTTGATTGCTTATGACTATTCATGCAGACACAGAGACAGAGTATCATCTCATTTGGAACGCTTTAGCATTGATGGGAACAGGAAATGAACAGGTGCCATCTTGCCAGGAAGGTTGTTTGGGTTTCCTGCTCGCACGTCAGTCCCCAGGGGGTGGAAACTCTTTTAATGGATGTCTGCAGTGCAACCTTGAAGGATGATTTTACATTTTGTCTATTCTTCCCCATCTAGACTGTGTCAGGATAAACTGTACCTCCAGTAAGTGAGTCCTCCATTTCTTCTGTACTGTGCTGTGATCTCTGTCCCCCTCCCGTCTGATATCCCTTCCCTCCTACAAACATTCTGCTGGTATTATAATGTGCCTTTTTTGACGCGCTGCACAGATGGTGTGTAGGCCTTTTATTGTTTCAGGTGTAGCAAATCCCAAGTGCATCAAAGTTACTTGTTCTGAAGAAGGAGCACATTTCCAGAAAACTGAAATTAAATACAACAGTAGTGGAAAGAGATCAGGCGGTAATTCAGAGGGAACTGCTTAATGGGCATTTAAAGCACCAGCATCACATTCTGTTTGTTCCTAATAAAGAGGGATGGGAGAATCCACAATAAGAAGAAGCCTCACCCACAGGTTCTGTTTGAGTTATATTGCTTCTTAACTAGAGAATGCCATGGTGGTGGGAGACCTTCAGACCTGTTTTCAGTCAGTTTTCAACAGTAAAACATAAATGATCATTTACAATAATGGTGGTGCAGGAGGTAGTGCTACCGTTCGGCAACCGGAGGGTTGCAGGTTCGAGCCCCGGGTCCTCCTGACTTCATTGAAGTGTCCTTGAGCAAGACACTGAACCCCAAATTGCTCCCGGTGAGCCGGTTGGCGCCTTGCATGGCAGCCTCCGCCACCGGTGTGTGAATGTGAGTGTGGATGGTGAATGTGAGGCATAACTGTAAAGCGCTTTGGTACTCGTAAGAGTAGTAAAAAGCGCTATATAAATGCAGTCCATTTACCATTTACCATTTTATAGATGACAGAGTTCAGAAAAACTAGCTACCTTTTCCCTAGTAAGCAACAAGCTATCCTATAAACATCATTTTAGCTAATTAACAATTTACTGATGGTATTTCTGTTAAACTGTATGTTTACACACAGACACAATTATGTCTTTTGCCAAAGCAATGGTAGTTTGATAGTCTCATAATACAGCTGGACCTAGTTTTAATATGTCACATATTGTTCCAAATCACATGTAGCCATGCTAGTCCATATAGCCATTGTTATAAGGCAACAATGCTTATTAATAAGGTAATATGAAGATGGGAAGATGCCAGAGCAGAGGACTGAGAAGAAGAGAGAGAAAGCCAGTGAGATGTTACATGTTTGTAAGTTTGTAAATGGTCATCACTATTAGTTTGGGATGTTATGAAGGAACGTTGTGCATGTCAGGATGTGTGATGTATGTTAATTGTTTGCTTCTTTAGCAATATCTGTGTGTGTATGTATTGTATAATGCACCCACTGCCCAACAACAGAAGGCACTGAATACTTAATCTTTCTGTGTGCTTCTGGAAAAGTTACACTTAAAAACAAATTGAATGAAAGCTGACTCCATACAGGAAGCATCTAGTACTGATATGTGGGTGGGACACTGTCAAGAAGAGAAGCAAATCATTCTAATCTGCCATGCATGCATAGATGATGCCTAGTTATTTAGGCTGAAAAATAGCCCCATTTGAACAGTGTTTGTGGGGGTTTCTGTCGGTATTGGGAACAACCTTACTAGGGGAATCATAAAAAATACTGAGGCCTACCCAGTGAACCCCTAGGACACACAAAGCTCACTCTGAAATGAGGGGAACTCCAGCATCACATAAAGAAGCATGTGGTGGTATGGTGCATCCATCATGTCTCTGGCTGTCCCCTGGTCACCCTGCCACTGTGCCCGGGTACCTGAGCTTTAATGTCAGGTTGTAAGCACATCAGCAACATACAACACTGACGTCTGCAGCTGCTGGGGCCTGGAACCCATGTCTCTCTAATGGCTATCCCAACGTCCCTCCTACCCTAAAGAGAATGATGCTGGAGCAACTTCAGCAGTTCTGCAGGGGGGATCTCTCTCGAGTAGGGAACTTTGGGAAGTAATTACAGAGAGGATTCTCCCTCAGCTCCACAGAGTCTCCAGCACAGTAGAAGCTCGTGTGAATTTCAGCCAGCACTACAGATGGTTTATGATGGACTTCAGAATCGATGGGACGTTCCTCTGTAGTGTTTTTAAGTGATGCTAGTTCTACTAAAAAACAAAAATGAATTTTGCAGTAAACTTCAGTACAGCTGTTGAAATACATGCATATGGAATCTTTTACTCACAACCATTTCTAAATAATATTTAAATACAGCAGCATTTTCTGGTGTATATGAGGATAACATAAATCAGCAACCAGTGTATTGGGGTAAAATTTAGGTTAAAAAGCAGGCAAAAACATCCACATTACTAGGCACTATGTTCTGCACTATGTGGTATATTTTGCACACTAGAAATTCAAGTGTTGCTCCAATATTGATTATACTTGTAAGTGGGCGTTCATCAGAAGTTTACCTACTGTAGCCTCAGTTATGCCTAGTTGACTGCTTGACAGCCACATGTTTTTAATACACTATTTGCCTCACTTGTAGGTCATTTTGGACAAAAGTATGTGCAAAATAAAAATAATTAAAATAAGAATATTGCTATATTCAGTTTTTTTCAAGAACCCATGTCTATATTACATATTTTTAAAGAGCAGAGCTTTGAATCGTGGAATTAGATTTGGCTGGGCTCGTTTATAATGAATGAAACTTCTGCAATGTCTCTCTTCCCTGAGTTGCCATCTGCAAATGTACTGGTTTCTGATTCAGAATGGATGTCCTCAACATGTTCAGAGGTGACCAGTGGAGCTCTTCTCCAGTGGATCTTCAGTGCAGGCTTCCTTTACCTCATTGCTCACCACATTTATTTATTGATCTGAAAGATAGTGAGGGTCACAAGTCAAAGTGAACATAGTTACCATGCAGAAACCTCAGTTCCTCATTTCCTGCCTGATGTGCTTTGTACTACCAAACAAAAATAAATTCCTTGTAACAGTGCGTAGAGTGAGAACCATGTTTTGATTTTGAAATTAGGGATTTTTATTTGCCCATGAGCTGCAAATTTGCATTGTGAAAGACAAGGTTAGTTATAGTACACTTCCAAAACAGAAGTCTCTTTGTGGCTCTATGCCTCCATCTTGTGGTAAAATATGATGACCTGCTCTATACAAAATGATAGCGTAGCATATAGAGGTATTTATTTCACATGTACACTGTCTGATAATGCATATAAAAAGTGTCACAGTGACAACAGACAGGATGTAGTGTCTCTTTTTCTTGCTCTTCTGGCTTCATTCGTTCCTTCAGCAGAGCACTTTTTCTGCCCCTTACCACTGTGTACTAGAATTTATGCTAATCACAGTCTGGACTTTCAGGCAAAGGCCCGGAGACCATCTTCGCTGGTTCCAACCTCAATGATGATGACTGGCACACAGTTCGTGTGATGAGGAGGGGGCGGAGCCTCAAACTAACTGTGGATGAGTCTCCATCCTCTGAAGGTGGTTACCTGTCAGGGGGTGGTTAACAGCTGCCTTCATGCACAAACAATGGTCACTTATTACTTTTTAAGTGCTTATAATATAGAAATTGTGCTCATTACAAAAGGTATAAAGTAATGATCATATTCAATTTAATATTTTTAAGTGACTGGGAACAATTAAATGATACATATTAACAATTTATCCATATTCTACCCACTTCTGCAAATGCAACATCTTTTATGCAATTGCAGAGTTTCATTCTTTGGCCAGTTGATCTGACTTTTATTAGCATATCTAAGCAACTTCCAGTGTAGCTGTTTGCGGTTGGTTGATTATATATTTGATGTGCAGTTGGAACTGTAGCTGTGTAACCACTAGATGAGTAACAAAAAAATCACAAGGCCCTGATTTGTATCCTCACTCAACAGCAAAAGTTGTGCTCATTTGTTGAATATAGTCATGTAAGCTACAGAGCATGTGCAAATTATTTTTATTGATTATTTATGATAATAAAGAAGCATTGGGAGATCCTGATGATGCCCCTTAAACTCTTTGTTCCCCAGGTCAGATGGCTGGTGACCACACCCAGCTGGAGTTCCACAATGTAGAGACAGGCATTGTGACGGAACGGCGCTTTGTCTCCGCCGTGCCTTCCAATTTTATTGGCCACCTGCAGGGCCTTTCCTTCAACGGGATGACCTACATCGATCTCTGCAAGAATGGAGACATTGACTACTGCGAGTTGAACGCCATGATTGGCTTTAAGAACATCATTGCTGACCCTGTGACCTTCCGGTCACGGTCCAGCTTCGTCACGCTCAGCACGCTGCAGGCATATTACACCATGCACCTTTTCTTCCAGTTTAAGACCACCTCACCTGATGGGCTTATTCTCTACAACAGTGGTGATGGCAATGACTTCATTGTGGTGGAACTGGTCAAGGGGTAGGTCATACATGAGAAGAGAAGTTTGGGAGAAGGTTTTAATGTACAAAAGCCTGCCAATGTGACATGCTGCCGCACTCTTGCCTGCAGGTATCTGCATTATGTGTGTGACCTTGGCAATGGGGCCAATCTGATCAAAGGCAATTCCAACAAGCCATTAAATGATAACCAGTGGCACAATGTGATGATCTCCCGGGACACCAACAACCTTCACACAGTTAAAATTGACACCAAGGTCACCACCCAAACCACTGCAGGTGCCAAGAATTTGGATCTGAAAGGTAGGATAGGCCTTCACACCCTCCAAGGAACCTGTCCATTGTAGGTGTAGCCTTACACCACTGCTGTCAGTCATGTGATTTTCATACTGATTCAAAGAACCATGTTGCATGAATGCATCTAAAGAGCAGCCATCTTATTTTTTAGATCTGGGTTTTTCAGTCCTGAAATATTTGTTTTCTTGGGTTCATCTTATTCACTTTTCCTTCAGATTTGAGAATTATAATACAAACTATGATTGATATCCAGCAACTGAATGTTATGTGGTTGAATGGTACGTGGGATTGGTGTGATCCGTCTTTAAACACAGCAAAAGGGCCATGATGATTGATATTGCTGTAACTCTACCCCACCCCTCAGGTGACCTGTATGTAGGGGGTGTGGCTAAGGACATGTACAGGGACCTCCCCAAGCTGGTTCATGCACGGGAGGGGTTCCAGGGCTGCCTGGCCTCACTGGACCTGAACGGGCGTCTCCCAGACCTGCTGTCAGATGCCCTGACCAGTATGGGGCAGGTGGAGCGTGGATGTGAAGGTGAGATGGGCCACCATCTGTAGCGTGCTTGGTACTGTGTGATGCAGTTTGGGTAATTGCAGGTGTGCTGTAGGTGTGTGGGATGAGCATTGGCTTGGGCAACAGAGAGGGCGTGCAGTGAGCAGTACCTTGATGAAGTGAGGCTCTGGGAGTGGAAGACAGCTAGAGGGGCAATACAGGCTAACATCAATGCTGTTTTCATGAATCGTAAAATTACAGTTATTTCATCGTCCTCTTCAAAATAAATTTTCATTTGTGCTTATAAAAAACATCCTTCATTGTTAAAATCGGTTCAGTGATGCAGGTACTTAGCAGAGAGTAAAATATGTCATTTAATTAAGGAGCTGGAACACTTTCATTCTGGAATCAGCAGGGAGAACAGCTATTTTACTGAACTAATCAGTTCAGTAAGCCAATAAAATCAAAAGGTGAATAATGCATCTGCTACGGAAGCAAAACATAAAATGTAATTATATGCCACAGCTGTCTTTTGGCCCCTTGTGCAAATCCACTGGCTTTCATTTTATCTGGATAGTTATCTGTCATTCTTAATGTGGGACTGTGGCCTGTCCATACTATATGAAAATGGGAAAATAGCAGCTTTGTGTGTCTGACCATTTTGTTGATATTTTACAAGTATATTCTCATACGTGTATTATTACATGCACATCACGTGACTCTGACTTTCTGGAAGCTGTCTGTCACCCCATTCATTTGTTTATGTGATCCCTTTTATCTCCTTTTCAGTGGCGGTACTTGTCTGTCTGTGTGTTTCCTCCACTGCCATTTCAGTGCTCTTACTAACATTTTATATATTTTGCTTTTCTTTGGTGTTGGCCTACAACAGTTGCATTGATGAAAGCTGACTTGCAAGGTAGATAGACCTGATTGTTTCACCAAAGTCTGAAGCCCCTCCCTGTTTTCCTGTCAATCACAATGTTTGCATAATGATTGGATAAGCCCTGTGCAGCAAAGCAAATGATTGAGAGGCGTTTTGTCTGTCTGGCTCTGGGGTTGCCAGTCTGAAATTCTGCTTCACTGTGCCCTACTGCTTTAATTATTTGAACATCACAGGTTGTGTTCTGCTCATGCTCCCTTCTCATCTCTCGTTTTAAACGCATGTTTTTTTTCTTTATCATGAATACTTGCCTTTGTATTTGACCATTGCATGAAATGAATGCCCATTGTTATTGTTGAAAAGTCGAGGTTCATTTATTCATAGACTGAAGTTGTCCAGTAGAGCAGTGCATTGCTAATCAATACATTTAAGGTAACATTTTGTCATAAATATTAGTATTAACTTGTAGATAACAACAAACTACTACTAGACTAGTACTTCAGTGCTAACTTTTAATTGAAGTTAATCTCTTGCTGATCTGTAGGACTATGTATTAGCACGATTATAAAAGGGCCCTTATCCTCCATGATTTATTTTTTCATCTGTTGCCATGTCTTGAAGGACGTTTTGCAATGTGTGCTTTTGGATGTCAGAGAGCAGGTGAGCAAATGGAAGCTCCCTGCACAGAGTATGCAGCTTTGGGGCTGAGGAACAGTCGTCAGGCTGAGTGACGCTATCAGTGAACCTGCCCTGTGTTTCCCTGCCAGGCCCAAGCACCACCTGCCAGGAGGACTCCTGCTCCAACCAGGGCGTGTGTCTGCAGCAGTGGGAGGGCTTCAGCTGCGACTGCAGCATGACCTCCTTCGGGGGACCCTTCTGCAATGATGGTGAGCTCTGGACTTCCCCTTCACTAATCCCATTTCCTCAGCCTTTTGCTCTTTCTTATGTCTTGAACCTCTGGCTCAATCACATGCAGAATCTACTAGATCAAAGCAACTTTTAACCTAGGCGGCCCTATTGTGAAAATATATCTGCCTGGACTGTTGATGTGATTCATTGATGGACACCAGCATGCTGCCTTGATGTTGATAGCCTCCTTATGGCTTCCTTCCATCTCGTGAATCATCCTCTTTGTCTCCACCTTTCTATTCCTTCATCGTCCATTCTGTCTCCAGAATCTGTCTCCTCTCTATTCCATTATTGTCCTCTTTGTTTCCACCTCTCTGTGCCATCATTGACCTCTTTGTGTCCATTACTCTGCTCCATCATTATCCTCTTTGTCTCCACCTTTCTGTTCCATTATCGTAGTCTTTGTCTTCACCTCTCAGTTACATCATTGTCCTGTGTCTCCACCTCTCTGTGCCATCACCTTTCTCTTCCATCGTCGTCCTCTTTGTCTCCACATTTCTGTTCCATTATTGTCATCTTTGTCTCCACCGCTCTGTTCCATCATCATCCTCTTGGTCTCCACCTTTCTGTTCCATCAGCAACCTCTTTGTAGTCCAACCTTTCTTCTCCATCATTGCTGTCGTATTGACTCCTCATAAGCTGTCCCACTGCCTTCTATTCAACACTATTTATTACTTTTATTTTGCTGTTATTGTTTCTTCAGCACTTGCTCATTGCCTCTACTTTGCTGCCTCTATGCTGCAAGATATTCCCTTATGACAAATACTAAATTAAAATTGATGTTCCGGAGATAATTCTGTTTCCTTTCTTAGATTTTCATTAGTACAACAAAAGATCACAGAATTACATGTAATATTTTATTAACTTGCTGTGTTATAAGCTCTTTGGTATTTTATTGAATGAGTCAGTGTTTTCCTTTTGCACAAGTGAACTGACAGCTATCACTGGGAGGAGTAAATAACACCCCAGGGAGGGCATACCCAGTTCATAAAGGTCAAATGCTTAGATAGAATCAATAAATCTTCCTCAGATATTTGAATAAACATTGTTTGGAGAGTATACAACCTCAGAGGCTTTGTATACCAATTTTAATGTGAACTTTCGTAAGATAAAACATATGGCAGAAAAATAAATGGTACAGTATGACAGTGAATTTAGATATTTACAGTGAGAGCTGAATGTATCAAAAGACAGTATTCTCGAAATGTGCACCTACCAAATGTTCCCACTAGGAGGAGCCCATGTAGCATGCAATAAAAAGTTAGGCGCATTGGAGGCTGTTGGTGCTCAGTGCAGTCTGTTGGCAGTCATTACAGCCAAATCACATTCCCTCTCAGCACAAATATCAATACCACATAAATATTGATTGTATGGTTCCTCATCATGTAATCACATAAGATATGCGCACTTAGTCACAGACCTTGTTACACAATTGCACAAATACACTTGGTAGACTTTAATTCTTTAATGGTGCCTAATGGTGGTGGTTTGCAGGACTGCAGATTTACTGCTGCAGAGTTTACTGATTCCCTGTTGGCAGAGTTGATTTCATGTAGCACAGCATTTATAAGCTGGAGTGCACAGATGGAAATGCAGATGCACTGTTAGAGCCATGTGTTGCCAGCAGGACTGAAAGTCTGGGGAGGATGAAGAATCAGGATAAAGAAGTAGGATGAAGGGGGTGAAGAAGAGGCAGGATGTAGAAGCAGGATGAGTTGGAGGATGAAAGGGAGGATAAAGAAGCAGGATGAAGAGGCAGGATAAAGAGCAAGATGAAGGGCAGGAGGAAGGGGCAGGACGAATGAGAGGATGAAGAGCAGAGTGAAGAGGCAGGATGAAGGGCATGAGGAAGGGCAGGATAAAGAGGTACAATGAAGGGGAGGATGAAGAATTAGGATGAAGAGGCAGAATGAAAGGCAGGATGAAGAAGCAGGATGAAGTGGAAGATTAAAAGAGGATTTTACCTAGATAGGACAGGATGACTTCATCAAGTATGTGAAAAGACTGCTGGAATTTCTAATGAGGTGCAGAGCATCAGAATGCTTATAAGGGAAGAAGCCGCCTTTGAAAAGAGGCGGGGCTCTTTCTAATGAGGTGCAGAGCAGCAGGATGCTTATAAGGGAAGAAGCTGCCTTTGATAAGAGGCGGGGCTCTTTCTAATGAGGTGCAGAGCAGCAGGATGCTTATAAGGGAAGAAGCTGCCTTTGATAAGAGGCGGGGCTCTTTCTATTGTGGTGCAGAGGAACAGAATGCTTATAAGGGAAGAAGCTGCCTTTGATAAGAGGCGGGGCTCTTTCTAATGAGGTGCAGAGCAGCAGGATGCTTATAAGGGAAGAAGCTGCCTTTGATAAGAGACAGGGCTCTTTCTATTGAGGTGCAGAGGAACAGAATGCTTATGGGGGAAGCTGCCTTTGGTAAGAGTGAATAAAGTTTAATAGTCAAAAACATAAAACACTAAAACCATACAGTTCCTGCCTGTCGTGAGACATGTCAGGTTTAAGGTAGTCTGGAATAAATGTAAGTAAATGAAAATAATGTCCATTTAAACTAGGGTACCTTGAACTAAGCAGAGAACAGAACTGCTGTATCATGAAGCTGGATTTTTTACTTAGCTGAATATTTTGTCAGATTTAAGGTATCCCAGTTTAAATGGACTTTTTCTTTGTTTACTTACATTTAGCCCAGACTACATTTACCACCATTACCACATCCAATACTTTAATTAATCATTGAGAAATTCAGTTCTCACCATTTCTCACCATTGACTATTGCTTACTCTCCAAAACAGTTTCTTCATTATAATTTACTCATCACAGTCATATCACAGGACTTCGTGATACTATTCGGGAAGACTATGTTTCTTCCAGGAAAAGTTCACAGCAGTGTCATTTAGAATTACTCACCCGCTGTTCCACTGGGCTAACAAAGGCACATGGAGAGTACAGTTAGTGTTGCCTGTGTTGTCATCCTGCATCCCTCTGTCTAGTTGGCCATGTGCATTCTGATTTTTTAGAACTATGCCAATGTTTCTGTGCACATAAACATACACAAAACCAACTATTCAAACATCTGAGCATCCATATGTACAAAAGCAGACCTAGCGGTGCACACACAGAAATGCTAACATGCATGGATACATACATTCACATGTACCTTTGTAAACATAAACACGCATGCACACACACATATACACATATAGTGTTTATCTTGAACCTCAAATCAGCAGCTCTTTCAAAAAAATCAAAGCAATAATATTTGTATCCAGATGATTCCTAAGTTGTTGAAAACATGATTTCCAATACTTATTGGTCTTTCTTATTCACTGATGAGTGGTATACTTGATGAAAATGCACTTGAGGTGCAACAACAGTGAAACACATATTTGTATCCCAATTATAAAACAACTGTTTTTTTTTCTTAAGTAATTGTAATTGTTGAATTGCCAGGTTAGTTATACTAGTTAAAGATTTTAGCTGTTACATTCTTTATCCAAAAGTGCAATTTCCATGGTGTTCTCATTCATATCTATGTGTTCCTATGGCAACATGCTGAAATTTGCAGTGCTAATACATTTAGTTACTGCAGTGCTACAATACAGCGCTGGAAAAAATGAGGAGACCACAGCATAATTTTTTGTTTCACTCATTTCTCAATTTATGGGTGTGTGTCTGTGAATAATATATATTTTTTTGCAAACTGCACCCTGATTCTTCTCTATTTCTCATTAATGAAGGGCTTCTTCCTTCCTTTATGGGACTTCAGTCCTGCATCTAGGAGCCTAATATAAACTGTCCTGTCCTAGCAGCGCACTCCACACCTGCACTTAATGTTTCCCATTCTTTTTGAAGGTCACTTGATGCCGTCGTCCGATTCATGAGAAACTGTTGATAAGTTGATGGTCATCTCTGCCATTAGAAAGTCTCTAATGAGGACGGGTTTTTGATCATTCACAGCATCTTGTTTCACCTTGTTCTTGTGTACTGCTGTCTTAGAAATTTTGAGCCTTCGAAGCAACCCGCTGTGTAGCCTTCTGCCAGAAGAACCAGGATTAAACCAGGAATTAAGAATGCAGATTTAGAAAAAAATAATGATTGCGCTCTTAATTTTTTCCAGAGCCGTATGTCATATGCAAAATCTACTGAAAATCTAAGATCCATGCTGGTTCCAGCTTTTAAAAGGTATTCATGTCTAATGATGCAGATAGGTGAGGCATCTGCCTAATCTTCACCAAATGTTCACCTAATGTTCACTCAGTGTTCACCAAATGCGGAGCAGAACACCAGGAGGCATTAAAGCGGAAATTCTCACATTTAATTCACTTGCCGATTCGGCCCATATTATGCACATGGCTGTGGTTTACTATGAGAGGGACCTGGAGACAGACTGCTTAGGTGTGCTGTGTGTGCAGGCAGTCAGTTATGTTAAAGACAGTTACCTGTGGGAGTGTGTCTCAGGAGATTAGGACTTTCTGTAGATGGCCAGCTCTGGGGACACGCCGTGTTACAAGCATTAGTTATTTCACACCCTTGGCTCTGAACAGTACATTAATCATTAGGGCTGACATTCAGTTATCGGGAGTCATCAGACCTGACATTCAAGGAATTCTTGCTTCATCATCTACCTACATGGGGACACATTCAGACACATGCCATCCTGAGAAGACGGCTTGCTATAGAGAAGATCTGACCACAGAGGAGTCATCATGATTTAAAACTAGACAAAAAAGTATAGGGATATTTCAAGTTTCTGGCTGAGGAGTACAAGAGCACTTCCACCTGTTATGTCCAGTTACAATCTGTATCATTATCAAACCCAGATAATGACAATAAAGCTAGGAATAGTGCTCAGAACTGTCTACTACCCTATATTATACTACCCTGCCCGCCTGACTATATCACCTTCAGAAAAAGTGGACTGGAAGCATTTAATTAAAGTCAGTCTTTAGTCAGACTCCTGATGGTCCCACGTCACTTCAGTGTTCAAGGCATTTTGTTGATAGTGTTGTTATCTGTCAGTTTTCACCCCGTCTGCCATTCCCTTCAATGTTGTGCAGCGCACCAGTCCGTCATGCCTTTCCTTATGAAAAAAACTGCTTGGTTCATATAAGGCCATCAAACATTTTTCTTATATGAATTATATTTGACAACACATAATGTTTTTACGGGATGGTACTGTGGGGATGCTGGACTCTCATAGAGAGGTCAGAAATGTCCATACAAATGGGAGTGAGAGCCATCAGTCATCAGACAAACCGGGATGATGCTGTGGGGATGCTGGACTCACACCTTGCTATAGATACTTCCATAATGCATTATAATGATCAGTATAGGACATTTTAATGCATTATGAAGGTATTTATAGTGCATTATAGATGAGACTATAATTTGTTATGCCTTTTTAAAAATAGTTATAGCCGTGTTTATAATAGTTTATGAATGCATTATAATGCATTATGAAGGTATGTACTGTATAATGCATTATACATGCATGCTTTAAGTGTTACCTTTTTCAGGTCATTTTTATCAGTATCAGTTAATGTAGCCAACTTTAACAGGGAAATATGTTTTCTTTGCATATATATTTTTTATTTATATCAATATATACATGGTCCAAATATATATTGCAGTATATTGGAAAATATAAGCACTAGTTTCCCATATATAGAAATGTATTTGTTAATATATTGCATTGTATTTTACAATAGGAGGCCACAAACCAGTACGCAGTGAAGTTCCCTTAAATGTTGATACAGAGCACTATAAATATGCACACATAGAGGACATAACAAACACACACCCACTTACAAACATACTCACATTCGTTCTCACACAGAGACCCATGTGGACTGCCCTCAGGATCCTTCTGAGTAGATCGTAAGAAATCTCTGCTTGATCTTTTTTGTCTGCAGTGGGAACAACATACATTTTTGGACGTGATGGTGGGGTGATCGTGTACACCTGGCCACCCAACGAGCGACCCAGCACCCGCTCTGATCGGCTGGCCATGGGCTTCAGCACGCAGGTGAAGGAAGCAGTTCTGATGCGTGTCGAGAGCTCATCAGGCCTGGGGGACTTCCTGCAACTGCACATCGTGAGTCTGAGCGCAAATGGTGATGGGGATAGACATGGTGCTGGGGATGGACATGGTGTTGGTGATGGTGATGGACATGGTGTTGGTGATGGTGATGGACATGGTGCTGATGATGGGGACGGACATGGTGTTGGTGATGGTGATGGACATGGGGATGGTGCTGGTGATGGGGATGGACATGGTGCTAGTAATGGTGATGGACATGGGGATGGTGATGGGGATAGACATGGTGCTGATGATGGGGATGGACATGGTGCTGGGGATGGACATGGTGCTGGGGATGGACATGGAGCTGGTGATGGGGATGGACATGGTGCTGGGGATGGACATGGAGCTGGTGATGGGGATGGTGCTGGTGATGGTGATGGGGATGGTGCTGGTGATGGGGATGGTGATGGGGATGGTGACAACAACCACATGTTCAGTCAAGGTATTTTATGATCATGTATACAAAGTACAATGGAATTCTTACTTGGGTGTCTTCTAAGGACTATAATGCCAAATTCATTTAAAAAGTACGGCAGCTAATAATAAATATCAAATGACAAAATTACACCCCAACAGGCAAACATTCTGCACAAAAGTATGAGTATCTCTGGAAATCCAGGTCAAAGTGAAATGACTAGCTGGCACAGACTTCACATAAATCACACATAATGGTAGTTTAAAAGCAGTTATCATAAATACCAAATATTTTAACTACATTATACTGTGACGCCTTGTTCTTTACATACACTGATAATCTAATTGGAAACCAGTAGTACCAGTTGTAGTAGCAGTAACAGTATCAGTAGTCGTAAAAAGATTTTGAAGTTCCCACTCTGCTAATCAGCCAGCTTCTAATGAACAAAGAATTTTGATAAGCTGTTACAGCACAACTCATAAAAAAAAGCATTCTGCTTAGTTACTAGCCTAGAACTCTCCAGAAGCACACACATTGCCTCCCTCCATACTCCTAAAATACACAACTGCACAAACCACAGAAGCACATTGCCTGTCTTTTATGTCTGTACTGTATATCATCGTCTATGTCTGTAAGTTCTCACTGTCTGACCCCCCTTGCCCCCTATAAACTTATACACCCCCAGGGTTTGTGTAGGATATTACATTTATAAGTGAACTTTTCATATCAACAGAGCTAAAGTATTAGACTTGGAACCTTTATACATCACAGACACACATGATGTACAGTGGCAATAACATTCTGAATAAACTGAACCTGCTCTCATTGCAGCTTATTTTACAAGTGAATGTTGCAACATTGTCCTTTTGTGATTTCAAAAAGCTTTCTGGACATTTTTAAAGATTTATGCTTCCAAGGAGAGAAAAAATGTAAAATGAAAGGAGCAGGTTATATTCTCAGATTGCTTTTAGGATTTAGACAGTTTTCTTTCCTCTGTATATGCCGTTATACTTAATCACAAGCTATGCATTTTCCATAATATTTTATCAAGTACAGGTTAGTGGTGGGCCTGGAGCCTAGATTAGTCAAAAAAGTAGAAAACCTTACAAGCTGTGCCTCAAAAGTAGAACACATGAAGTAGCAAGTGATGAGAAGTCAGAAGGAGCCAGCTGGCCCTATTCATGAGACAGATATTTAATTTTAGTCCACCAGCTTGTCAACTGTCATCTGTCTTCTGATTCACAGATTCTGCTGTTTTCCTGCTATATTTAGTCTGACTGACTCTCCCAATTGTACGCCTTTACTCTTACTGTCCAATACAAAGACATAATTTGATCATGCAAGACAACTGCTATAGTGTAAACCCCCCTTGATGTAAGGTGAAGTAGGGCTCTTAACCCCAATTGCTCCAGGAACTGACTGACCCTGCTCTCTTACTTTTATATCATTTTGGAGATAAACATCTACTAAATTACATAAATGGAAAATATCACTACACTTCAGCCACACGTACATTTGATTTTGATTTATTACTGCCAGATATGACCCATGACCCAGATGCCTGAAATCTTTCATAGCAGGAGACTCATGGAACTATTTGATATAATTTAATGCAGTCAAATGTTCAATTGCCCTTTTTATTGTGCAGCTTATTCTGGCACTATACCTTCCTCTTTATGCTATAATACTTATTTGCACTATGTTCACTCTTGCGCTGACAGCCAATAATGCCTGCTGCCACCTCAGTAACTCACACGCATCTTGAGCTGGCCTCGGTGACACGTGGGCCGGTGATTCTAGAAGGCTGTAGAGCTTTCTACCTAGCAGGAAGGGGATCCGAGCTCCCAACCCAGAATGCGTGAGATAGCAGTGCCACCTGCTGAGCCACCAGTCCAGGCCCAGTGTAAAAATCCAGCAGGAAGGGGATCCAAGCTCCCGAACCTGGATGCACGAGATGGCAGTGCTGTCCACTGAGCCACCAGACCAGGCCCAGTGTAAAAATCCAGTAGGAAGGGGATCTGAGCTCCTGACCCTGAATGCGCGAGAAGGCAGTGCTGCCCACTGAGCCACCAGACCAGGCCCAGTGTAAAAATCCAGTAGGAAGGGGATCCGAGCTCCCGACCCTGAATGCACGAGATGGCATTGCTGCCCACTGAGGCACCAGACCAGTCCCTGCTGTAAAAGCCTAGCAGGAAGGGGATCCGAGCTCCCGAACCTGGATGCGCGATGTGACAGTGCCGCCCACTGAGCTACCAGATCGGTCCCGCTGTGAAAGCCCAGCAAGCAGGGGATTGGACCTCCTCACCCTAATTTCTATATGTGTGCAAATGAGTTTGGGTAGAAAACCCTGAATAAAATTCATTTATGACTGGCTGATTTTTTTGCATGTGTTATGCTGATTTTTTATTTTTATTTTGGGTGCAGTCAGTGTGTGGTCCAATGTCTGTGTGGTCCTGGATTTTTGTCAGAGCTTTACAGTTCTCAAAAAATTGTATTTTACGTGTGGTTTAATCCTGGCTCCACTGACAGAAGGCTACACTGCACAGCAGGCTGCTTCCAGGCTCAGATTCAAAGACAGCAGTACAAAAGATCAAGGTAAAGCAGGAAAAACTGGCAATAACCAAAACCAGCTAGATAGAGGGCAGAAGCAACTTTCTAATGCCATAGATGACTATCAACTTATCCAGCAGTGACTCATAAATCAGAGGATGACCTCAAGTGACCTTCAAAAAGAATGTGATACATTAAGTGGTGTGAAGTGCACTGTTAGGACATTAACAGGCTCCTAGAAGCAGGACTGAAGACTCATAAAGCAAGGAAGAAACCCTTCATCCATAAGAAACAGAGAAGAACCTGGCTGCAGTTTGCAAATATATATATATATATTATTCATAGATGCACATCCATAAATTGAAAATTGAGTGAAATTGAAAATTTTTATGTGGTCTGTTATTTTTTTTTCCATATATATGTATAACCTTGTGGGGACCACATGGCCCCACAATGTGATAAAAAGCTAATATTTTGACCTTGTGTGGTCATTTCTTTTTTCGGTCTCCACAAGGGGAAACTTAATTTTATGAAAATCTATGACTCCAATCAAAAAACTAAAATGCCAAATGTGTTGTATTATGTTTGGTTACCTATGGTTAAGGTTAGGGCTGGGTAGGGGTTATGGTTGTCATTGTTGGGATTAGGGTTATGCCCAAATAAATGCATGGAGAGTCTCCGCAATGATATAGATGCCTAATCTGTGTGTGTGTCTGGGTGCAGCTGCATTTGTGTATCGTGAGATTTTGTGGGTTATAGACTGGCAAATGGGAAAGGGACATCAACACTGTTTATCTTAGTAGAATCCAAACTCTTGGCAAATCAAGGAATTAATTTTCTTTCCTATTTCCCATGGCCATGAAAACTTGTATTAAAGTGTCACCCTTTGAATGAATTTTATGTGTATAATCAAACAAACAGCGAAAGTATTTCTCGTGTATTTCCCATGTCTCTAATTATATTTCAACAGATCTTTCTATATATAGTACTTATCTGCTAGAGGCTAAACCTAGGCTTGATGCTTCTTAGAATTTTTTTTGCAAAATAATTAGGTGTGGTGCCTTGAGTGTGAACATTTTATTTTCTCCTAGTTAATTAACCCCAGTGGAATCATTGGGGTTAACTTCTTGAAATATCAGACTGGATTTCAAGCAGATATTATAACATGAATGGGTGACTTTGTACCATGTGATTTATTTTATCATCATAAACAAAATAAAAGAAATATATAAATTTAGGTGATAAAAATAATTATTGCCATATATAGCAATCATGCAATCATGACTGTCGGGGGCCACCTGCCAAAACCTCTTCCAGAAAAAGTCATAAAGATCACAGAAAATCACACAAAAACCCAAGATATAGAGTGAATATTAATGGTTGGCTGATTGGCTGTATCAGGACGTAAACATCAGCAGACCATTTGTCAGTGACGTCATTTCGCATCTGATTGTCAGCTTGGCTGGCCCTTTCTAATGTTAGTATGTAAATGTAAAGCCAGCTGGAGACCAATGACAACACATCATCTTGGTGATCAATTGCCCACATGACCATGTTGTTTTTGTACCAGCTTGCAAAAGCGTAATCGTTTCATTAGTGCATTAGAGAAAAACAGGGTGAACAAGCCTCAAACTGTGCTTGAGGTATTGACTTATATGGACCGTACCCCTGGGAGTTCGTGGACTGTTGTAAAGGTTATTGCTGTGTAGGCTAAAGTGACCCTCCTTCTCCACCTAGAGTTTATTGGGATGTTTTTTGTAAATGTGATACCATGAGACCAGTATCAGGGCTAAAGGCAATTTTTAAAATAAGACTGTGTTTAGAGGAGAAGCATCATGGCCATTTGAGTCTCTTTCCATCTTAAGTGGGGACAAGAGAAAAAGCTGGCGAGGCAGAATTCTCTCTGTTTCCATTTTTATAATAACATAATATAACGACTCTTAAACCACAGAGGTGCCAGATCTCTTATATGAACTTTATTTTTTGGCTACAAAAACAGCTCAGCTTAGCCTTTCGGTGTATGTACGTTAGAGTATGAGTATAACTCAATATGTGTGTCTGTGGTGTTTGTGTATTCTGCGGGCGTGCCACTACTCGGTGAGCATGTCTCTACTCAGTGGGCGTGTCACTACTCTGTGGGCATGCCACTACTCAGTGGTTGTGTCTCTATTCAGTGGGCGAGTCTCTACTCACTGGGCGTGTCTACTCTGCGGGCGTACCACTACTAGGGTGACCAGATAATCCATGTCAGGGAGGACACTCTGAGCTAGGACAGGAATTGTAAATTACCATTTCAATTAAACGGACCTGGATTTCACTTGAGCACTAAGTTCTTGCTGTGTGCTGATTGGTCAGTCTCCTATAATCATGCA